GGAGAGAGAGGAGAGAGAGGAGAGAGAGGAGAGAGAGGAGAGGCGAACACAACGCGGCTCGAGCGGCAGCGAGTGAGAAGCTCGAAGAGCGACTCGGAGGGCTACATATCGCGACGCGCGCAGGAAGGGGGCGCCTGTCAGCGCGAGGATAGGCAACCCACTCAACGCCAGTGTGGTCGGGTTGCCTACGGTGAAGCCGCCGCCGCCGCCGCCGCGCCGAGAGAAGTCGCCCGCCAACGCGAGGATGGGCAGCCCGCCCGACACAGGAGAGGCCGGGTTGCCTACCGCAACGCCTGCACTGCCACTATCCGAAGCGACGGCAGCAGAGCAGACGCGGTAGGGTACGTAGAATTTTACCGTAAGTTGCGGTGAATTTTTGTAATCTTACCTCCTAACCATTGCAACAGTGCCGACCGGGCTAGGACGTCACACATCTGCCAGGTGTGTTAATGCACTCTCATCCTGTTACTGATTTTTTTCACCTTTTGTCAGTATTCCTGCTGCGCAAAAACCTTTATAAGCTACTGACAACTGCTTTCTTCAGTAATACGAAATAATTTCGTTTTTAACTACTGACAATTTTTTTCTTTTATCACTGAGGTACTTACAACGATATCCAGAATAAGTAACAAATTAGTCAGTAATCCTGCTGCATTAAAACCTTTATAAGCTACTAATAAATAAATCAGTACAGGTCTGAGAGTGTGTGTTGGCCTGTAACCCCGGAGCTGCCTGTGTTTTTCTTCCCCTCAAACTCTATGACTACAAACAATATTTTTACCGATGTGTTTTTTTCCCTCTTTTTTTCAGCCCCAGTAAAAAGAAATGATAATTGGGATGTCCGGGCGATGTCCGGCGGGCGATGTGGTCCGGCGCAGACCGTATCGCGGCACAGTGTGGGAGCGGTGCCAAGCCAGGACGGGGGGCCCGGGCGGGGTAAATCATACGAGAGGAAACCAATCCCTCTCATGTTTCAACTAGAGGATAAGAAGAGCGTTGCGCGGTGGCTGAGGTCATTGTCTGCAGGTAGCGGTAGCGGGTCGGTGGGAGGTGGAATAGGCTGGGAGGGTAGAAGTGGGAAGGAAGGCCAGCAGAGGGAGAAATAGAAAAGAGGGGAAAGACAGCGAAAGTAAAGGAAGGAGAATGAGAAAAGAGGAAGGAGAATGAGAAAAGGGGAGGGAAAATGAGAAAAGAGGAGGAAGAAAGATGAATTAGAGGAAAAGCAGGAGAGAAAACTGGCACTAATGAGAAAGTGACAGAGATAACGACGAGGAGAAACAGCAAGCAAAGAAAACTAGGTGGAAGAGGAAATGAAGAAGAAAGAATACGACGAGGAAGAAAGAAAGCAAGAAATAGGGAGAAAAAGAGCAAGAGAAATGGCGGAGCGGGCGTGCGGGGACGCAAGGTCCCCGCCGGTCCCCGTCGGTCCCCGCCGGTCCCGAGTGCGGCTGTGGCGCGCGGCTCTCGCTCGTCTCACCTGTCATCATGATGAAGGCGAGCAGCACGGGCCCCGCCGGCCGCCGGCACCACCCGGCCCGGCTCCTCCGGCCCCTCATTTCATCTCCTCCGCTCCGGGTCGCCGCCGCCGCGGTCGTCATTTCCGGTTCCGGTGCGCGCGCCCAGCCCCCTGCAGCCGTGTCTCCTGATGCTACTCCGGTGTCGCGGGGGCGCTGCGCCGGACGAGGCCAGGACGGCCGCACGGCGGCTCCGCGGCCTGCGGCATGGCGGCGCCGGACCGGAAGTCGAGCCGGAAGTGGACAGCGGCGGGCAGGAGGAGGTTGCCGGACAGATCGGGGGAAGCTGGCGTCCTCGCGCAAGGTGCAGAGCGTGGGGCGCGCGGCGCCTGGCTGCGCGAACGCAGGCTGGACCACGTGGGGCTTGGGGGCGGCGCGGCGCGGCGTGGGGCCCGGGCGCACCTCGGGACGATCGGCGTGCGACTGGCGGCGTGGCGCGGCGCGCGGGCTCCGCCCGGAGCTCCGGCAGCCGGCTCGACTCGGCCCGCCCCCGGCTCGGCTCGGCGCGCTACCGCCCCAACCCCTCGCGCCGCCGCCGCCGCCCCCGCCGCGCCACACACCGACCCGACGCTAGAGACCACACTTGGCGTCGCCGGTACGGTCCGTCGGGCGGAAAATGCTGCCCGGGAGCGTCGTGGCGAGGCGCGGGGAGAGGAGAGGGCGGCGAGAGCGGAGGAAAGGAATGAATCAGGGAGACGCCAAAAGGGCGTCAGAAGCACCGCGAGAAAGTATTAGCACGGCCACTGCCGACCCGTCAACAACCCACACGTGAAGAGGCCGCAATCTGGTTAGCTTGATGTCGTCGACGTATGAAGAAAAACATTTTGCCCCAGTTTTGAATGCGACGACCCTCATTGTGATTTTTATTTTGTACAGGTTGTGATTTTTATTTTGTACAGGTTGTGATTTTTATTTTGTACAGGTTGCAAGGGAAGATCTTCCCATGAGAAATGTTAAATTCCGATTTCAAGCAGTAAAAGTACAATATCTATCGACTTGGATTTACTGAACGACCAAATTTACGGCAACGCTGGCCGTTCGAACATTTCCAAGAAAAAACAACATTTGTCAGTTACAACGATACTTTCCAAAGTCGAAAATCCTGTTATTGTTATAGGTATGTAAAAATATACTGTAAAATTTTGACGGATCAGAGACGAAAACGAGAGGTGCACACCGTCAAAGTGAACTGTGTCGGAGCAGGTGTGGAGGGTGACGCTGCCGGATGAAAAGTTGCGTCTATCAACACGTCGCGACGGTGCGGGGAAGAAGGTGAAAAGAAGGAAAGAGGGCGGAAGGGGCGGGTGCGGGG